CTTATAAACTCCCTCTGCATACACATGCAGACAGAAAAAAAATTGACGTTATGGGTGAATGGAGAAACTAGGAATGCCATTTAGTGACGCTTATCCACAGGGTTCTCTGAGATTTTGCTTTTGGCTTGCCAAGATGTATTGCTCCTTGATCTGTCTTCTTTAGGTTCCTTCACTTGCTGGTGGCACTGTGGCTGGTTCAGATTTACAAAGTTTCTGACTTACTGGTTAAAAGCTAGAGCTTACAGTAACTGGTGAGGGAAAATAAACTGGTTTACTTCAGATTTTAGGTTTTTTCTATTGCAAAGGAAGGACATGCCACCCTTTTTGGAGGTTCAAAGGCTTCATTCGCACCCACAAGCTGTTCAGCTACCTTGAAGCCAATCAAGTAGTTGTTGGTGGTTGAAGGCCTTTGTCATTGACTACTGCTCACAACTCTTGACCAGTCAGCTAGCTTTTGCCAGCTGATTCTCAGTTTATACACAGCTGTTGGTGTCACTTCATCAGCAATTAATCGCCCTCCACTGGTTGACCAAACAACAGTGTAAACAGCATGAAATAACTCCCCAGAGGCCGGTGTTCTGTCACTAAACCACCCTTTATTTACATATGCACGGTACACGGACTCTGACCAGCTAACTCCGAGCTAGTCTCTAGAGTAGTGAGAATGTCTGAGACTCCTGTTTATATCTGTCAGCCAGAACTCCCTGGTTGGTGTTGTTAACCTGGGTCAGCCAGGAATCGCATACTGAATGAGATCCACCGGGCCCTCGTTCCAATTGCTACAAAGCACTTGTAGTAGACTGGTAACACTTTTAAAAGGTCAACAATCCCTTCCACAATTTTTCATTTTTAAGACTATCCTTTTCCCATTTCGGTCTATCATAGAATCATAGAATCCCTACAGTGTGGAAACAGGCCCTTCGGCTCAACAAGCCCACACCGACCCTCAGAGAATCCCACCCAGACCCATCCCCCTATAACCCACCTAATCGACACATCCCTGAATACTATGGGCAATTTAGCATGGCCAGTCCACCTAACATGCACATCTTTGGACTGTGGGAGGAAACAGGAGCACCAGGAGGAAACACACGCAGACACAGGGAGAATGTGCAGACTCCACACAGACAGTCGTTTGAGGGTGGAATAGAACCCGGGGCCCTGCGCTGTGAGGCAGCAGTGCTAACCACTGAGCCACTGTGCCAAAGCAAACCGATATTGTCTATATGGCATAAAGCAGGTTATCTAAACCACTGAAGAGAATGAGTTTGCATTTAGATTAGTGTGATTACGACTTTTAGAGTGAATATAAGGCTTTGCAATTTCTTTCAATATGTTGTAAGTATGCTTCAGCATACGAAAAATGTAAATATTCAATTTAACTGTAGAAGCTGAGTCACAAGTAGATACACAAGTTACACAAGTATTTTTGCTTTCCAACGGTTTGCAGCATAGATGGTCTGAAACCAATACAGATTAAATTGCTGAAATACTTACAATTTCAGTTATCACTGAGAGAGCAGTAGATAATTTTTTTACAAATTGAACATAATAATTTTCTACATAAATTTCATTTCATTTATATAATTTTAGATGGGGCATAAACCACTGTGGAAGAAATAATTGTAGTGTAATAGAAAAAGTGTACTACATTTGTTCATTACAAAATATATTAATGTACAGATGTTATTCTATAAAAAGAATCTCAAATCAAGTACAGTAATTAAATATGTTTAATGATATTCACCAATGTTTGAACAATTTAAAAACACTGAACATTGAAGCTACACGTCATTTATGTGGAGCAGAACAAGATTGAGAAAAGAATATTTTGCCCAATTAGTTAATCTTTCTGTAGTGGACTGTAGCAGTTCAAACATTTGTATATTTGGTTTTTATTTTAAAAAACTTTCATTTACGTTAGTATTCCTTGCAAGGCCAACATTTGTTCCCATCCTTAACTGCCCTTGTGAAGGTGCTGACAAGCCACCTACTTGAATGATTGCAGTTAACAGTGCTATTAGGAAATGTGTTCCAGGATTTTGATTCAGTGGCACTAAAGGATTAGTGATATAGTTCCAAACCATCTGAAGGGGGACTTGCAGATGTTTCCATGTTGCTTTGTTCCTTATTCTTGTAAGTGATAGAAGGTAGTGTTGAAGAAGCTTTGGCAAGTTGCTGCAGTGCATCTTGTAGATTGTGCCAGCAACGGTCACTGTATACCCATGATAGAGTGAGTAGATGTTTAAGGTTCTGATGACGTTCTGATCAAGTGGACTGGTTTGCTTTGAATAGTATTGAGCTTCTTGTATTGTTGAGGTATTGTTTATGAGATTTGCAGTTGTTTGATATTATCATGGGCAATCTGGTTGAAATTTAGCTATACTGGTAGCCTCCTTCATTCCTCCTGCTCAAGCTTTTCTTACTCTTGCACTGATTTTTCAGTGGATAAACAGGGCGATTTCTGTTTTAATTGCAACGCATTCTGTCACTTTTAATTGTTTTCTAAACTTTGTTTTCTGTGTTAATTTTCTGATGTCTTTAAAATCTTTTCTATCATTAGTCACCTTGATTCCTTATATTCTAGACAGTTTACTTTATACAAACTGGGTAGAAAGACTGGTAAAATTCGTGAGTTATCTGTCGTTCAAATACAAATTTTATTACCATTTCTGATATTAACTACAAGGATCAAGGGTTGGGATGAAGCACCTAACAAAGCAAGCAGAAACTTAAGAAATGTATTCAAAGCAATTTATTTAGCTTGTTAGGAGTATCTATGGCAGTTTAATTGAAGCCACTGCCATTTCCTGCCTGGTTGAACAAGTTGGCCACTCGTAGAAAGAATAAACAGTCCCTCCAGGTCAGGTAAATTTTTTTTTTGGGGACGCCAAGAAGCAGGATGGTTCCACTGTGCCCCATGATGAGGAAAGCTTTGGTGCGTGGTCCTGGACTTGTCAGCATCACTGCTGTTTTTTGTTGCCTTCTGTCTCAGCTGTAGATGAAGTGTGTCAGCAATATTTAAATGAAATCCAGTAGTTAAATTTTCCAGAGTTTCCTGCTACTAACTGGGGCTGCACAACCATCTTGTCAGAACAGCTTTCTACCTGTAAATTCCACTGAGTTAAAATCTACCCCGTTGTGTATCTGTTGCAGTTCTGGAACGATGCTTGAACCAAGATTGATTTAGAGGTGAGCGTGCCTACTAAGTTGAGCTAAGTTTAGTGACTGTTTACCAACTTTGTACTGCCAGCAGGAAAAATAAGCCTTCAGAAAAACATGAACAGTCCAACAAATTTCTGATATGTACATTATAGCATACGTGACTCCTAGCTGCAAATATGAGGACAATAAAATGAAAGCAGCTCAGAAGTCCAAACTTTCCTTGAAAATTCATGATTTACAAAGACACCATTGTTAACCAGTTCTAGCTGTTATCTGTCTAAGGTTCTTGAGTAGATTTATAACTTGGGTTGTGGATGCTGTAGTTGTCTCGCTCGCCGAGCTGGTTCGTCAGTTTGCTGACTTTTCATTACCCTGCTGGGTAACATCATCAGTGTCGCCTCTGATGAAGTGCTGTTGTGTTTTCCCACCTGGTATTTAAACTCTGGGGTCCATTGGAATTGGTTACCTCATTTCTGGTTTTTCTTCGCAGTGGTGTATATATAGGGTCTAATTCTACGTGTTTATTGATGGCCTTCTTGGTGGAGAACCAAGCCTCTAGAAATTCCCGTGCTTGTCTCTGTTTGGCCTGTCCTGGGATCTTGATGTTGTCCCAATCGAGTGAGTACTGGTCATGTCTTTCTGTTGCTAGTTGGGGTTCATATATTCTTGTGGCCGGTTTCCTTCCTGTCTGTCCAATGTAATGTTTATCACAGTCTTTGCATGGGATCTTGAAGATCAAATTGGTTCTGCCCATAGTGGGTAAGTATCTATCTCTAACAAGTGTTTTTACCTTGGAATATATCAATGTGTTTTAAGACATTTTGGCAATAAGCAATGGTGTGTACATCAAGTGAAACCTGTGCTTGATTGATTTGTTTGAATTTTGTAGCCAGAGATTCTTCTCCTCCTTGAGGCAGAGTATTGTTGGTGAAAGTGAGAATGAGTTCTGGTTCTCCAGGGTTTTTGACCTTTCAGTGCAAGCATAGTGAATTCCAGTGAAGGGGAATTACTTCTGATGTTTCAACTTTGGCTCCACATTTTTGAACCAAAACTGATGAGTTTCAAAGACTACCCCTGGGAATTAAAACTAATGTATACAATAAGTTTCAGTGAATCCAAAAACAGTGGAAGTAGGCACTCATGTTATTTTCTGTGAGTGAACCCCAACAGGGAAGAAAAGCAGAATGTTGATTATCTTACACAGTTGTTTAATACAGTGCTTACAAATGTGGAAGACAAAGCTCTAAATGTCAATACAACCTGAATCTTTGTCAGAACGTCCTGTGGCTCAGTCTCACAGCACAATAGGAATAGATTCTGAAATTTTCTCAGCCAAGCTTGCTGGATGCTTCTGTTTGTATTGTTGGTGGTGATTGCAGTGTGAGGTCTGGTGGCATTGCATAAGATTAAGGCAAACCGTGGCATATATACATGTAGATCGGAGAAAGTGATTAGAGTATTCAAACTCAAAAACACATGACCACCATGACAAAATGCCTACTGTGCTCAGTGACTGTTCTAAGTTCACCTTCAAGACTTGCCATTATACATAACCACATAGCCACACTCATAGGCAAGTTGCAGAAGCACTTGTTGGACTTGTGTAGATGTAGCAACTTCCCTGGTGATATGTACAATATTATTTGCCCTCAGCTCGTGGTGTCTATGTATGAATGGGCTGCTCATGAAACCTAAAAGTAATGTCCCTTCATTCTCTATTTGATCTCAAATGTCTGTGCTTTGTTTTAAAATCTAATTTGTTTTAAAATTTGTCTTTCGCAGTATGATCCAAGTGACAAATACAACCTAACAATGTATTTTCTTATGTCTTTCAGGAAACAGTAGAATATGCCTTCCTTATAATTTTTACAATTGAAACATTTTTGAAGATTATAGCATATGGACTGCTGTTACACCCCAATGCTTATGTAAGAAATGGATGGAACTTGATGGACTTTGTAATTGTAATTGTGGGGTAAGTCTAATTTATAATGTAATCCAATGTAACTAACCATTCTAACTTCCTTGGACTTATTTAAATAACCAGGTTATTTACAATTCAGGATATTATGAAATGCAGGGTAGGTGGTTTATTGGCATAGAATCCACATAATTTAGATAATCGTTATATAGCTTGAAAATTCTGCTGTTGGTTACATTCCTGCATGTGTTTCTTCACATCAATGAAAAATATAAAGGAATTTTAACTTTTTTATTGTCATTGGTTCCATATAGTGCATAGTAATCTCTTAAACTTATGATATTATAGTTTATATCACCTATACTACTTAACTTTGAGAAACTTGGGCTGTATTTTCCACTTGATGTAGTTGTCAGTGTGGAGCTAGATTGCATGCTTGTGACCAGTATCAGAGCACATAGTGATCCTAATTCTGTGGTAACCCTCCAAGTAGCTGAAGAGTGTCTGAGAGTGTTGATCAAATGACTTGTTTCCTCATCATTACTGTGGTGTTGCTTTCTGTTCTTCAGTTGGGATTGTTTGTGACTTGACAGGCAGCTGTTTTTGGTGTTTTGGGTGAGGAAAGGAGCTGAAATGAGCAACAAAATGTTATAATTTCAGCTGAAGTCTCAAATGAATAAGTCAGATACCAGACGGAAATCTGTCTTGATAAATTATGTTTTTTTTTAAATTGACAAGGCAGCCTGTCCCTGAAACATAAGTATTCAATGCTACAGATATTGTTTTAATAGAAAACAGCAATTTATTATGCAAAACAAATGAAAATACAGGAGAGTAAACCAAGCTATTTACATATAACACAATATGAAAGATTCAAAACACAGTAAAAATACAATCCACTGAATCCCATCCTCAACACTTTGCACTACTCGAACATCAGAGAGAATTTGCTTCTCTATCACACCTTTAGTTTGAACTCAATTTTTTTTCAATTCGTAGTCTTGAGATTTTGTTAGGCTCTTTCTTGATTATTCACATACCCCTGCTTAGATTTTCTAAGCTGCAATTTAACTCCTCTGGTTTCTAACCAAACATTTCTGTTCTGGAGCTTTAAAACGAAAATTCTTACATTGTGATATCCTATTTCCTAACAGTTGTAAACTCATATTTGTTGAGGAGAAATAATTTCATATATACCACTTCAGCTAGGACTTTTATGAATTGAAACTAAAAAAATTCCAAGCTATGGCTTTTTCTCCCAAAGCCATGCAAAATCCTGATTCTCCTCAACTGAAAGCAAGCTGATACTCTTCAATGTTTACCCTGTTAATTCATAAAACTCTTCCAAAGCATTATTACCCTCCCCACTACACTCATGCACTCACGCACACAATCACACTCTGACACATTCTTTCCCTCTCTCACAGATGTACTGGTTTTAAAAAATGTGATTCTAAAAGTACGGACAAGTTAATCATTAAGTTGTCACTAGTCCAAAATTTAAACTTTAAAATAAATTATATTTATACATATATATAAATCATTAAACTTACTTCACATCTTCCCCAAAGAATAATAAAAATGTCTGTAAGAGGCAATTTCATTACCCTTTTAAAAATAACGATAACAATATTTCTATGTCACATTAGCATTAGTAGCATTTTGGCATTAAGCATTCATTGTGTTACAGAGCACCCATATTTTACATAAGTCCATCAGTACCACATCACGCAGTGCCGTTCATAAATGCTGTTGATAAAGCATCCACAATAACATTTTATTTTTTAAGCTCTGTTGAAATAATTAGAAGTTCTCATCATAAGACTTTTCCTTGAAATTCAGAGGATTGTGGTCCATATAAATACCAGTTTCTTTCACATAGTTAGTGATGTATATTTCAAATGATGTAGAGCCAACTTGAGACTCAATGTCTCCTTTTCAATTGTTTATTATACCTTATTGGGATAGCATATTAGAATTCAAGCCCTGCTATTCCTGGAGTCATCACAAAAGTTAAAAGATTTTTTAAAAGTATGCAGTATTCCTCAATCTGCCTAACATTGAGGTGCAGGTTGACAGAAAGTATGGGCCGGGCTTCTGTACATAATATGAATGGCTATTTATTATAAAGAAATAAAATGTAGCTACAGGTAAAGATTTATGAACTATCAGCATTAAACTATACCAGTTAAAACTCGTACCCGCTTCTAAGCGCCCCCTTAACTACAGATAAATACAGATATTGACAAAAAATGGATATTGAACAAAGAAAACTGGGAAAGCAGCTTGGTAGTCTCTATTCACAGGAGCTGCTGAGATGGTTCTTGAGCTGACCAGAATGCTGCTTCTCAGTCTTCCTTCTCTGGATATCTTCACTGGTTTTCAGCAGGCACAGCATGTCTGGTTCACACTTATAAAAGTCACAACTTATTGCAACTGCTGAAGGCAAAATAAATTGGTATTCTTCAGATTTAAATTTGCTTTTGCAGCAGAGAACTGACCCAGCGACTGAGCTGGTGACGATCTGATAACTTCTCCCTCTCTTGTTTTGAGCCCCAAGCTTTTCAGAAACCAAAGAATGAATCACATAGTTTTTGGTCGGCTGATAGCATTGCTCTGTGCACTGGTGACTAGTTATCAATCAGGTTGTTGTTGCAGCTGAAGCTCCATATATACATACCCTTGGTGCTGCAGCTTGTCTGCACCTTCTTCTACTACTGCTTAAACCAGCAGCTATGTAAATGTTTATAATGAGTGTTAGAATACTTGCTTTCAAACCATGCAGTAATCCTTCAGCAATCCTTGCTTCTTCTAAAACCATTCTTTTACCATTTTAGTCTACAAAAGAATGGAAAAATAAAATGACACTGCCTTTACATGTTTAAAAGTTTGCTGACATGCAGTTCGGTTTCTTTGAAAAATGATTGACAAGCCTTTGATCCCCATCTTGGCATTTCCAGTAAGACCTCTGCTGAAGGTGATTTTGCTTGCACCATCAGCCAGTTTGAATGGCTTCTCATAATCTAGTTTGGCTAAAATTGGTAGCATTTTCAACACAATTTTTAGTTTTCAAAGGCACTGTGACATTCCTGCGTCCATTTAAATATTTCGTCTAACTTCAAAAATTTATTAAAGGATTAGTGCAGTGCTAAAGTTCTGGAAAAATGCAATAAAATCTACTCATGCCACATAAATCAATTTCACATTTTGTCATAGGCCAGAGAAAATCCAAAATAACCCTTCTTTTTACTGCTGTCGAAGCTGCTTTGTCTTTTCCCACCGTGTGGGCCGAATAAGTAGCTTTTTCTTTGGCAAATTCATTAATAGCCAGACTTATAAACAAATTGTTTTTTGTAGCTGATGAAGCAGTTCAATTAAATGCTGTAAATGTCTCTCCCAGGTGTGATTGGAAATAAAATCAAAGCATCAGTCTGAATATCACAGTTGCATAGTGCCTGAATGGCCTTATTGGTTAATCATTGGAACATTGCTGGTGCATTTTTCATTCCAAATGGCATGTCTTTGCAATGTTGTCCATCTGGTTTTGCAAAAGGCAATGTTACCTTTCTTTATCAGTCAATGGAGCTTGCCAATATTCCTTTAGGAAGTCAGTTGAGATGTGTTTCCAACTCATTCATTGCAGACCTCCAATCTTGGAATAGGATACAAGTCTACTTTCAGTAGTTTATTGACCTTGCAATTGTCAGTACGGAAGCATTGTGACCCATTCAGTCTTGGTGCCGTCATAGTAAGTGAGCTGCATAATATCATCGTCCATCGTGAACTTAATTTCTTCCCTTACTTGAATTCATCTCCCTGGTTTGAATCTGGAAGGGTGTTGTTTGATAGGCAGCATAACTCCCACATTAACATCGTGAACAATGAAAATTGTTATTCCTGACTTGTTCCCACAAATTGATTTACAATTCTGTAATAGCTGTCAATGTCATTTTGGTAGTTCTCTATAAGATAACATGTGATACAATCAAACCTTTTAAGCACCTGAATATCATCCAACCTGATTCATGGAAGGTTAACTTTAGCATTTTAAATTTAAGAGAAGGCAATGGGCTAGTAATATCTTTGGACTATTAACCCAGAGACCCAGCTACCCAGGGTTTGAATCCTACCACGGCAGCTGTATTCAGAGTCTAATGATGACCATGACCATAGTTGACTGCCAGAGAAAAATCCATCTGGTTCACTAGTGCAGTGCCCTAAAGGAAGGAAACTGCTGTCCTTACCCAGTTTGGTCGACATGTGACTCCAAACTCTCAGAAATATGGATGACTCTTAACTGCTCTCCAGGCAATTTGGGTTAAGCAATAAATCCTAGCCTGGCCAGATACGCTCAAATCCCATGAATGAATATGTAGAGAAAAGTTTATGATTTATTCTTCAGTTGTTCTGATATTTTTATTACATTCCGTACCTCATTCATTACCATAAGTACACTTTTCTCGTATTGTCCTTGTCATGATATCCCTTGATCATGTTGACATGGCATACCTGCTGATTCGTTCTGTTGTCTGGAGCACTCAGTTTACGTGATTCAGTTTCTTTTTGATTTGATAATGACTAGTGAACCTTGATTTTGATCATTCCCCTGAGACAGGTAGCAACACTGACATCTTTGTCTCCATCAACAAAATGTCCAATTTGGGCCTTTATAATCTGCTCTAATTTTCACTTTTTATTGAGCACTCTTCAAATGTGTTTTTAGCTAACTCTCATGCCTCGGTCAGTTTCTCTCTGAAATTCAAAATATAGATTGTGAGCTTTGATTTATGAATTAAGTAATCTCCTCATTTTATGCCTATACATTCGCTACAAAGGTGTAAATCCTGTTAATTCATTGGGTGTTTCCCAATGCCAAATAGTAGCAAAAGAATTCCTTTATCCTAATGATTAGGACATTGTTGACAATGAGCTGTAATCATGGTCTTCAAAATCTGCAGCAAAGACAGAGTCCAAAGGCTAACTGACGCCAAGATTCAGGATATCTCTAAACAAAAATAGAAGGTGCTGGAAAAGCTGGAAGAACTGTTCTGAGG